AAGAAGAAACACTTTCATCATCATTCACCTCATCACTGTCTTGCCAGAGGTGTGCCTACTTTACAGTTAAAAAATAGCTGATATATATATATATATATATATATATATATATATATATATATATATATATATATATATATATATATATATATATATATATATATTGTGTGTGTGTGTGTGTGTGTGTAGATGAATGGTTCAGAGAACCGACATGTTGATAAATTATCAACATGTCGGTTCTCTGAACCATTCATCTACAAACCTGTCAGACACTGCAACTTCTTGGGATCTTAATACTTGGGAATTCTTCACTTGCCTACTTCCACATTGAACAAATGTGACACCACCTATGACTGCTGCACCTCTCCTACCAACGGTTTATAAGCTCTTTCTCCGCACGTATGCCGTATTCTATTCAAGATTGATCGACTGACCACATCGACTCAAGGTTGAGGGACTGATTACCTCATTCTCCTCCTGTTCAAGATTCTCCTTTGTATGGACTGATGAAGCCACTGTGTGGCGAAATGTTTCCTCAATAAAGATACCCAAGAGTTGCACATGTGTCTAATTTATCACCATATATATATATATATATATATATATATATATATATATATATATATATATATATATATATATATATATATATATATATATATTATCACACTGGCCGATTCCCACCAAGGCAGGGTGGCCCGAAAAAGAAAAACTTTCACCATCATTCACTCCATCACTGTCTTGCCAGAAGGGTGCTTTACACTACAGTTTTTAAACTGCAACATTAACACCCCTCCTTCAGAGTGCAGGCACTGTACTTCCCATCTCCAGGACTCAAGTCCGGCCTGCCGGTTTCCCTGAACCCCTTCATAAATGTTACTTTGCTCACACTCCAACAGCACGTCAAGTATTAAAAACCATTCGTCTCCATTCACTCCTATCAAACACGCTCACGCACGCCTGCTGGAAGTCCAAGCCCCTCGCACACAAAACCTCCTTCACCCCCTCCCTCCAACCTTTCCTAGGCCGACCCCTACCCCGCCTTCCTTCCACTACAGACTGATACACTCTTGAAGTCATTCTGTTTCGCTCCATTCTCTCTACATGTCCGAACCACCTCAACAACCCTTCCTCAGCCCTCTGGACAACAGTTTTGGTAATCCCGCACCTCCTCCTAACTTCCAAACTACGAATTCTCTGCATTATATTCACACCACACATTGCCCTCAGACATGACATCTCCACTGCCTCCAGCCTTCTCCTCACTGCAACATTCATCACCCATGCTTCACACCCATATAAGAGTGTTGGTAAAACTATACTCTCATACATTCCCCTCTTTGCCTCCAAGGACAAAGTTCTTTGTCTCCACAGACTCCTAAGTGCACCACTCACCCTTTTCCTCTCATCAATTCTATGATTCACCTCATCCTTCATAGACCCATCCGCTGACACGTCCACTCCCAAATATCTGAATACATTCACCTCCTCCATACTCTCTCCCTCCAATCTGATATCCAATCTTTCATCACCTAATATTTTTGTTATCCTCATAACCTTACTCTTTCCTGTATTCACTTTTAATTTTCTTCTTTTGCACACCCTACAAAATTCATCCACCAATCTCTGCAACTTCTCTTCAGAATCTCCCAAGAGCACAGTCTCATCAGCAAAGAGCAACTGTGACAATTCCCACTTTATGTGTTATTCCTTATCTTTTAACTCCACGCCTCTTGTCAAGACCCTCGCATTTACTTCTCTTACAACCCCATCTATAAATATATTAAACAACCACGGTGACATCACACATCCCTGTCTAAGGCCTACTTTTACTGGGAAATAATTTCCCTCTTTCCTATGTACTCTAACTTGAGCCTCACTATCCTCGTAAAAACTCTTCACTGCTTTCAGTAACCTACCTCCTACACCATACACCTGCAACATCTGCCACATTGCCCCCCTATCCACCCTGTCATACGCCATTTCCAAATCCATAAATGCCACAAAGACACCTTTAGCCTTATCTAAATACTGTTCACTTATATGTTACACTGTAAACACCTGGTCCACACACCCCCTACCTTTCCTAAAGCCTCCTTGTTCATCTGCTATCCTATTCTCAGTCTTACTTTTAATTCTTTCAATAATAACTCTACCATACACTTTACCAGGTATACTCAACAGACTTATCCCCCTATAATTTTTGCACTCTCTTTTGTCCCCTTTTGCCTTTATACAAAGGAACTATGCATGCTCTCTGCCAATCCCTAGGTACCTTACCCTCTTCCATACATTTATTAAATAATTGCACCAACCACTCCAAAACTATATCCCCACCTGCTTTTAACATTTCTATCTTTATCCCATCAATCCCGGCTGCCTTACCCCCTTTCATTTTACCTACTGCCTCACGAACTTCCCCCACACTCACAACTGGCTCTTCCTCACTCCTACAAGATATTATTCCTCCTTGCCCTATACACGAAATCACAGCTTCCCTATCTTCATCAACATTTAACAATTCCTCAAAATATTCCCTCCATCTTCCCAATACCTCTAACTCTCCATTTAATAACTCTCCTCTCCTATTTTTAACTGACAAATCCATTTGTTCTCTAGGCTTTCTTAACTTGTTAATCTCACTCCAAAACTTTTTCTTATTTTCAACAAATTTGTTGATAACATCTCACCCACTCTCTCATTTGCTCTCTTTTTACATGCTTCACCACTCTCTTAACCTCTCTCTTTTTCTCCATATACTCTTCCCTCCTTGCATCACTTCTACTTTGTAAAAACTTCTCATATGCTAACTTTTTCTCCCTTACTACTCTCTTTACATCATCATTCCACCAATCGCTCCTCTTCCCTCCCGCACCCACTTTCCTGTAACCACAAACTTCTGCTGAACACTCTAACACTACATTTTTAAACCTACCCCATACCTCTTCGACCCCATTGCCTATGCTCTCATTAGCCCATCTATCCTCCAATAGCTGTTTATATCTTTCCCTAACTGCCTCCTCTTTTAGTTTGTAAACCTTTACCTCTCTCTTCCCTGATGCTTCTATTCTCCTTGTATCCCATCTACCTTTTACTCTCAGTGTAGCTACAACTAGAAAGTGATCTGATATATCTGTGGCCCCTCTATAAACATGTACATCCTGAAGTCTTCTCAACAGTCCTTTATCTACCAATACATAATCCAACAAACTACTGTCATTTCGCCCTACATCATATCTTGTATACTTATTTATCCTCTTTTTCTTAAAATATGTATTACCTATAACTAAACCCCTTTCTATACAAAGTTCAATCAAAGGGCTCTTATTATCATTTACACCTGGCACCCCAAACTTACCTACCACACCCTCTCTAAAAGTTTCTCCTACTTTAGCATTCAGGTCCCCTACCACAATTACTCTCTCACTTGGTTCAAAGGCTCCTATACATTCACTTAACATCTCCCAAAATCTCTCTCTCCCCTCTGCATTCCTCTCTTCTCCAGGTGCATACACGCTTATTATGACCCACTTTTCGATCAACCTTTACTTTAATCCACATAATTCTTGAATTTACACATTCATATTCTCTTTTTCTCCTTCCATAACTGAACCTTCAACATTACTGCTACCCCTTCCTTTGCTCTAACTCTCTCAGATACTCCAGATTTAATCCCATTTATTTCCCCCACCGAAACTCCCCTACCCCTTCAGCTTTGTTTCGCTTAGGGCCAGGACATCCAACTTCTTTTCATTCATAACATCAGCAATCATCTGTTTCTTGTCATCTGCACTACATCCACGCACATTCAAGCATCCCAGTTTTATAAAGTTTTTCTTCTTCTCTTTTTTAGTAAATGTCTACAGGAGAAGGGGTTACTAGCCCATTGCTCCCGGCATTTTAGTCGCCTCATACGACACGCATGGCTTACGGAGGAAAGATTCTTTTCCACTTCCCCATGATTCGTGTATACTACTTGCAAATAGACCAGCCCAGCTATGGTGCTTACATCGTACTGTGAGGCGAGCACAACACCCTGGCTGATGAGGCCCTCAACAGGTAAGCCTAATTTAGGAGCGGGCTACGGGGTTGATGATCTACAAATTCTTCCCTTTCGCTCCGCAGCTAGTGAGAAGCACTGTGAAAGGTATTCTTAGGTTCACGGGTGAGTTGTGACAGCTGTGCTCCACCCCATATTCCCTCTCCCACCATTCCTCTAGTCTACCTCAACACAGTCTCCCAGCTCAAACTGTCAGATTTCATTACTTTATGTACTAAAGTCACATTTTGTGGTGGGATATAATATGAAAGCATAACTAGTTGTTTCCACAATATAGCTATCAGACAGAATTAGGTAGCAGCACCGAAATATCATCGAGTAGGGTACTCAGTTACGTTTATTAAAAAACTGGCCATCCTGTGAGATGGTAATTCGTATGTAATAATAATTCCAGCTCTACTGGAAGGAAACCCTCAATGATACTGAACCTATAGTGGAATGCTTGACGGTATTCCCGTCTCCTTGCTGAAGTTAATCAATTCAGGCTGACACATTTCAATAGTTATCATTACAGGAATTAGGGCGAATCTGCTCTTGGCCCCATCCTGTGTGATGGAATATGTTTAGGGTAACAGCTGGCTCTCGTTTTCAGTATGTAACTGTTATATTAAATAGGGTAGCAGCACGTTGTTGATGTATTAAGTTTTGTTTAATAAAGAAAATCATAACTAATTACCAACAGACCCCTGGCAGTCTTCAAGCTGGCACTGGACAAGCACCTAAAGTCAGTTCCTGATCAGCCGGGCTGTGGCTCGTACGTTGGTTTGCGTGCAGCCAGCAGCAACAGCCTGGTTGATCAGGCGCTGATCCACCAGGAGGCCTGGTCACAGACCGGGCCGCGGGGGCGTTGACCCCCGAAACTCTCTCCAGGTAAACTCCAGGTAAATAACTCCACCACCATTCCTTACTCCCCCCGCCGCCCACCACCACTACACTCCCTTACCTCTTCCCCCATCCCGTGCCTCACCACCACAAGCTTACCTTGGAAAGGTGACCATCTCTCACACTTCCTCCCGTTATCTGCTGTGGAATCAACACCCTCTTCTAAATTTAGAGTTGTAGTTGAGAGAAAAACAAACTACGCCTTGCCCTAGTTAAGTACTGGGAGATTCTTTTATTCAAGCCCATTTGCCCATTTTTCTATTACATACTACAGTACTATCATCGAGCACTTGAATACTTGAAGCTGGGCTGGAGTTTTCTAATATAAGGTAAGACGTCCAACAGACTGAGTTTTGTAACATTTTGACTCGGCTTGCATACAAACTGGGCTGGAGTTCTCTAATTTAAGGTAAGACGTCCAACAAACTTGAGTTTTGTAACATTTTGACTCGGCTTGCATACAAACTGTCTAAAGGATTGTTTCATGTTTACCCATACCCCATCTCTTGTTTACCCAACCATTCTCTTTCCACTGCTCCTGCTCTTGTTTACGTTACTATTTCCTTGAAATCATAGCGAACACGCGCGCGTACAAGAATACGTTGATGGTAGCTAGCGGACGAGGTGTCATTTCCCAAGCCAAAAATCTCCTGTAACTGCTTCAGAGATTGCCTGATTAAGTAGGCTATTAATGCGTGTCATTCGCAAGCCAGTACATTCATCATAGACTTACAGAATGGTCAACGTATGGGAAAGTTTGTGGAGTTTCCGTTTACAGATACTTGGCTGCGTCCCAATTATTTCTTGTATTTCCTGGTTGAACAGCCTTGAATCTTAAAATGTAATAAAGTGTTCATAACACACATGCTCTTTTATTATCGTTCACATCCTATCTCTCACTTTAATAAGCTGTATATTTCAGATGTACAATGAAGTATTGTTAATTTCTGTTGAGGTGTGTTCTGTATTTGAGAGGAAATGTTTTAATAACGACTCTTGAGGTAGAGATGGGTTGACAGTTATGTAAGCATGTATAGCAGCTTAAATATATCTTGACTTGAAAATGAAAGTTGATTCAGAATGGTTAGGAAGATGTACAGTTAGTTCTGTACGCACAAATAATCCGCACATGGGAGCATGAAACTTACGACGTTTCGGTCTAACTTGGACGACCGAAACGTCGTCATAAGTTTCATGCTCATATGTGCAGATAAGTTACATTCTCCCATGTGTGTTATTTATGATTGTTCCAGTCATGGTATTGTGCATTTTTTTTAGTCTTCATAGCCGTATTTTTGACTACAAATACAAGAGTAAGCACTGTATTTTTACAGTTTAATTTACATGCCAGGAGCTGTTATTATACCCCGAGGCACATGAAATTCCAGCCCTTTCTAAAATATACAACCACCTTCCCCCAAGAATGCAATAAATAACCGTTAACTATCATCCGGATAAATCGCAGTGTAGCTATGAGAAAGACACACAACATTTTAGACGTTTAATAGGCTTTATACCTATTGGGGCAAAACGTTTGATAAATGCGCTAAATGTTAAATACATGTCTATTTCCGAATTTGTGAATATGTCAATACCGACATATAGGATGGATAATGAGAACCTTCAAAACTAGGCATGCCAAGCCCATGATTCTCTTCAAATCACTTGTTCTCTCTAGGCTGGATTACTGCTGTACACTAACTGCCCCCTTCAAGGCAGGCGAAACTGCTGACTTGGAGAGTGCACAAAGAACTTTCACGGCACACATAAGTACAATAAGGCACCTAAATTACTGGGAACGGTTGAAGGCCCTTGATTTGTATACCCTGGAACGCAGGCGACAAAGATACATAATATACACATGGAAAATCCTAGAGGGATTAGTACCAAACTTGCACACGAAAATCACTCCCTGTGAAAACAAAAAACTCGGCAGGAGATACACATTTCACCAATGAAAAGCAAGGGCGCCACGAGTACACTGAGTGTGTACTTGTGTCCTGGGCCCAAGACTTCAACTGCCTCCCAGCATACATAAGGGGGATTACCAATAGACCCCTGACTGTCTTCAAGAAGGCACTGTACAGGCACCTAAGTCGGTACCTGACCAGCCGGGTTGTGGTTCGCACGTCATTTTGCGTGCGGCCAGCAGTAACAGTCCGGTTGATCATACCCAGATCCACCACGGGGCCTGGTCTCAGACCGAGCCGCGGGGGCGTTGACCCCCGAAACCCTCTCCAGGTAGACGTACTCTTGATATACCCTCATAGCTTGTGGCACCGCTGGCTTTTAACACCCAGGACGGTGTAAATCGTGTCTGTTTAGAGGGGTCACAAAGTGGAGAAAGATGGTAGTAGTTATCTGACCATTAATAAATCAGCATTTCCATTTTTATCTTCACAACGAAGGAACTTGATGGAAACATCGGGCTTGGTGTAGTGTACCCACATTCTAAATTACTTTTGTTAACCTTTAAGTATAACTTTTACAAATGCCAAGGCGTAGAGTCTTTGACACTTTTAAAAGATAATCAAAAGTTTAATCGTGAATGAAACTGTACTTTTTTGGGTGGCTTAGCGCTTCTTTTTGATTATAATAATAATGTACTTTTTTGGTCGACGGGTGTTATATATATATATATATATATATATATATATATATATATATATATATATATATATATATATATATATATATATATATATATATATATATATATGCAATAAGATCACAGTAAACAGGCGATTTCACAATATGCAAAACAACCGCTGTGAAAGAATGATGAAATTCTAAGCGCTTTCTTTCCAGGTCCGCGAAGGACCTGGAAGGACCTGTCTAGTTGGGCCAGCGGGCCTGCCACAGTGTTCTCTTTCTTATGAGTCGCATGTCAGGTGTTGATTTGTTGTGGGATGTGATGGTGAGGTGTGGTCTAGACTTTATATGCCTTCCTTTTATGCATTACTTTTATTGTTCCTTGATAATGTGAGTAGTCACGAAAGCCCTTGGAATTTCACTATTCTTTCACAGTGGTTGTTCTGCATATATTATATATATATAATATATATATATATATATATATATATATATATATATATATATAATATATATATATATATAATATATATATATATATATATATATATATATATATATATATATTATATATATATATATATTTATATTATATATATATATATATATATATATATATTTATATTATATATATATATATATATATATATATATATATTATATATAATATAATATATATATATATATTTATATATATATATAATATATATATATTATATATATATATATATAATATATATATATATATATATATATATATATATATTATATATTATATATATATATATATATATATATATATATATATATATATATATATATATTATATATATATATATATAAAGATCACAGTAAACAGGTGATTTCAGAATATGCAAAACAACCACTCTGAAAGAATAGAGAAATTCCAAGCGCTTTCGTGACTACTCACATTATCAAGGAACTATGAAAGTAAAGCACCCAAAGGGAAGCTATATAAGGGGTCTGGCCAGCACCTCCCTATCAGATCCCACAAGTTAAACACCTGACGCGCGCCGACCCAACTTGGTATAGGTCCTTTGCACAACTCACCCACAAACTATTCTACCCAAGAAAATTTAAAAATTATTATTTGTCCTTGATTTTTTAAATTTTTCCCCAAAATTCTTTAATTTAAATGGATCTAATTTATAAAAACCAAAGGGAAATTTTCATATTTTTGCAAAACGCTTTTTAGAAACAAATTCGTTTAATTCCTGTCGACCATGACTTGTTTGATACTATTTCTAAATTTTTTTGAAAAATCAATTGGATGGTTTAAACCTCTCATGAATAAAAGAGCTTTGGGAATCTTTCCATTCTAATGCTATATTTTGTTTTTTAATCTTATTCGAGATTTTTACCATTTGACCTAATAAACTTTTCGCAAATTTTACAAAAAATTTTAAACACATCCATCAGCATTTTGGGGGAATTCTTTATCAAAAGTTTTTTTACTGTTCAAGTTTTTTTGAATACAATCTAATATTAAAAGTTTTTAAAAAGAGAAGGCATATAAAACCAATTTTGTAATTAATTATCAAAAAAATTTTAGACAAACTACAACTGCTGCTCGGGTTTTTGGCCTAAGTTTTGCAACTTCAAAAAATTTAATAATGTTGAAATTGCAAAACCCTTTTTGTAACTTTGAAAAAATTCTTTTTAAATCCTCTGATAAAATTAATATTAGAAAAGGGAAATGGTATATACTCTATTTTAAAACCAAACTTTCCCCAATTGCCCTAAAAGATTCCTTAAATTTTATGATACACTAATAACAAAAAAAATTTTGCGCCTTACTAAAGCAACAAAATAAATGCAATAGTAATTTGAAAGAAAAATTCCCAAAGGGAAAAAATGAATAATCTCTTAGATGATACTAAAACCATTCAAACTTGGGAAAAATTCCCTAAAAACCTTTAACAGCAATTAAATAAAACAAACTTCAACGAAAGCAAAGATGATTAGTCAAACAATTTACTTCCACAAATCCATTTTTATTTTTACATTTAGGGACTAATATAAACACACAAACCAGGGAAATCCAGTCAACCAATTTTAGCCCCATGGGGTTAGTTCAAAAAATTATCCAAAGGCTTTTTTATATTTTGGCCCTATTGGGAAAAATTTTTCTAACTTTAATTTTAAAAAAAACATAGACTTGGTTGAAAAATTAAGCTCCTTGACTGACTTAAAAAAATTTTTTAACAGGGTTATTTTGATGTTACTTCCTTGTTTACAAAAAGTTCCTGTTGAGATTTTTTAAATTTTTCTTATCTGAAAAAACTCGTTAACTATGATTTCCCATTGCCAGTTCCACTATCATTAAATTTATTAAAAACTTTGCATTTTTCAAAATTTTTTTTAATGAAAAGTATTAACTAAATTTTGGGTATGGAAAAGGGGAAAAAAAAATCCTTTTTCACCTGTTCTTAGAACCTATACAGGGAATTTTTTTGAAAAAAGGGTTTGTTTAAACACAACCTCCCTAATAGAGCTAAATGGTTCAGAATGTTGTTTTGATTTTGTGTCTTATCCCAAAAAATTAGATAACACCATTTCCTGGAAAATTAAATAGTTACCCCATTTTTTAAACTTTACTGTTGATTTTGAAGAAAATAACCATTGCCTTTTCTAATTTTTTAATTTTTAAAGGGGTATAATAATTTAAAATTTTAAAATTTACAGAAAACCTACAAATAACTTTTCCCTAGTCCAC